TCAAGTTCCTTGACAGCCTTAGTAGCCTCGGTGAGTTTACAGGTATGGGAAGTATTTCAACTATGTCCCATGTAGGTGTGGTACCACCTTATGATATGAGATACAAGTTCTTTAGCAGCACTCTATGGAATAGAACTCCGAATTTTAGTGTTGTAAGTCCGTAAATTTACCGTTGACCTACCGGGGGACCAATATCTTAGGTTTGTTTGTTTTGTAATTAAGCACAAAGCTACACAATGGGCTATCTGTGCTCTGCCCACCACGGGTATCGAAATCCGGTTTCTAGCGTTGTAAGTCAACAGACATACCGCTGTGCTACTAGAGAACCAATATCTTAAGAAAAACATTACTGACATAATTTTTAATTTTTCTAAGTGATTTGCCTTATTCACTCTTTAAAAAAAAATCCCACGTTTATAGTGTGATAAAAGCACTAAGTAAAGACTCAGTAAAGTCATGATGCATAAAATAAACCGTAACATCACAATTAAAATTTCCTAAAAAACATCTTCATATATTTTTTTAAACTCTTGTTTAGAAAAACAATTAATGTATTGCATAAAACGGTCCCTTTACTGCCAAAAAAAATCGCGCTTTGCACTTTTTTGGTGTGTGTGTGGGGGGTGCATTATAAGTGTGACGGTCAACTTCCACTATTCGATCTGACAAGAGTAGCCAAAAGAGATGACGGTGGGTGCTGTTGACTAGTTGCTTTCCCTTTACTCTATCAGTTCAAAATTAGGGACGACTAACTCAGGTAGCTCTTGAGTAGTTTTGCGCGAATATTCCGAAACGAACACTAAAATTGGTACAAAAGGACATTTTGGTCACTTCATGTGTCAGTACATAATTGATGTATTCGTTCATTTAAGAACTTGATGTAACAATTATTGCTTGGAGGCTACTTTTGTACAACCTTATAGTAAACAAAAAACAAAAACTGTCTTACTCAGGAAGAAGTATTGAAATACCTCACGGTGCGGTGTACGTTTTAACAAAAGTAAGTGAATGATATGCTTTTGTTGTTAACGGCAAAGCTACACATTGTATTAGCTGCACTCTGCCACCACAGGTATCGAACCCCGATTTTTAGCCTTATAAAGCCCTCAGACTCATCTTATTATATTCGATTTTTCCACAGTGACAAATGATGATAAGCTGCACTCTGCCCACCACAGGTATCGAACCCCCAATTTTTAGCGTTATAAGCCCTCAGACTCACCTTATTATATTCCACAGTGACAAATGATGATAATTTCTTCTTTTATTAACTTTACGATGACGATGAGCACGCTCTAACTACCTCTAAAGGTTGAATAAACTAAAGAAACCTAAATTTCAAATGGAAAGAGTAAAGTAAGTTATGGCATGCTTCTGACAGTTTATTTATCATCACAGTAAATTCAAGGTGTATAGAGACTAAAGGCTTGAAGCTCGGGATATAGGCCTAATAAGAAAGGTGGCAACAAGGTACGTCTTTTTTAAACTTCTGAAAACCTGCAAAATTTTATCTGTGCACTTTTTAAAGTGAATGTCAACAGTAGTATTGTCTATTTAACGTTTATAGTGGGTGGTAAAGATTATATTACACTAAAACGTTAGCAACCCTTACTTGTCAATTACAAAAAAAATGTTGATAAATTTAGGTCTAATTTGTATTCGTTTTGATTGTATTTTTTACAATAAATCTTTATTTACTGATTTAAACTGGAAGTATTATACTAATGCAAATATATCAACAAAAATTATATCAAACACGAGCGGATCTATAAGCAAAGATATTTACGTGCGCATACGTTAGAATAGTCAAACAAAATGAAACGATAAATATCAAATTTTCATATATATATAAAAATATGTAAATTTATTGATATCAAACGTTTTACAATGAATTCATACCTGTTTGAGAAAATAATATTACAACAACAATGGTAATACTATGTTATAAGTCTAACATCTTTATATAAAACCGTGTCATGTTTTATGTAAAGTGCTATTGTATACGTTTTCATCAGATATCCAGAGTTCACATTAACATCAGTTGTCGTGGATGCAGCCACTAAAGACGTCTATTAACTTTTTCAAGTTTGTGTTCAAATCTATGTTCCAAGACAGATCTAGTTCAGTTGAGAGAAGTACCTTCTGGGGAATTAGATAAAATCGGCACCTCATTCCCCACAATATAACGTTCCTAACCTCAAATCAATAAATAGATCACACAAAAGCATTGTCGAATACCTCGGTCTTGATATGAATAACATGTAACAATTTATCAGAAATCCATCTTCAAGTATGTATTCTTAATAAACTGTTACATGTTAAACAATCATATCGAGTCCGAAGTACTCGACAATATTAGAATAACGAACTTCAAGTAAGGATTCTTAATAAACTGTTACATGTCAAACAATCATATCGAGTCCGAAGTACTCGACAATATTAGAAAAACGAACTTCAAGTATGGATTCTTAATAAACTGTTACATATTAAACAATCATATCGAGTCCGAAGTATTCGACAATATTAGAATAATTAACTTCAAGTTTCGTTATTCTAATATTGTCGAGTACTTCGGACTTCATATTATTGTTTAACATGTAACAGTTTATTAAGGATCCATACTTGAAATTCGTTATTCTAATATTGTCGAGTACTTCGGACTCGATATGATTGTTTAACATGTAACAGTTTATTAAGAATCCATACTTGAAGTTCATTATTCTAATATTGTCGAATGTCATTCCAATACTGGCGAATACTTCGGTCTTGATATGCTTGTTTAAAATTTAACAATGTATTATAAATATACTAATAAGTATACCCTAACCTGACATATGATAGCTAACTAGAATAAATAAATTTTGCAAAATCAAGCTTTACCAACAAAAAGGCAGAAAAGTGCAGTCGAGGTATTTTGACCCAGTGTCCAAAGAAAAGTTCTCTGGACGCACAAGACGTCCCGGTTTTATGATAAAGACATCAAACTGTCCAGTCATATCAAGTCACAAATGTAATAGGCCTACCTAACTTGCTTATTGTCGTAACACGTACTCTCCTGCCGGCAAACTTTCTCGAAAGTTCCGTCTGTGTGTGGTGAGGAACCCAGGTCTGAATGTGGAGAGAGTTAAGATAGTGCCCATCGTCAAAACATACCTTACACAGTCATGTACTGAATTTTATGGCTATTTAATGAAAATACAGAACTACGTTCCAATCATTCTTCACAAAAATATGCCTAAAAAGTTTCAAAGCAACGTTAAATTCTAAAAGTAAATGTTTGAAAATGTTGTGGGTTCTTAAACAAGTCTATCAATGAAGTAGTCTATTTTAATGTGAAATAGATAAAGTGAATACCGTAATGCCCCTAATTAAAGCCCCCCGGTTTTTTATAAGGCTTAACTTGTGTGACAGCAATAGTAATTTAACATATAATCCACTTTTATTACCGTAATTTTGAGTTGAAAAAATAAAGAAGAAAAACAAACACACGCACACACTTATCAGCATTGAAATCAACAAATCGCATATGAAAAATTAGTGTCCATACATTTTACAGTTTGGAACGCCCGCTGGGGGCGTTAATTAGAGGCAATATGGTAATTAAAGATTTCTTGGATGTATAATTTGACTATTTTAGCTCATTTTGTTTTGTGTCTACCACCAACAAAAAAGTAGTTTAAATTATTTCACAAACAATGTCTATATATTCATAAATATTGTGGAAGTAAACTAAACTAAAGTTACTTCAAATCTGTAATAACCATTTTGAAATTAGCGGCATGATATGGTTTGGAAATCTGGTAACCCTAAGAACGACAGATGTATTGTGAGTGTTATCTATGTATTAGTAGCAATATATTAAGACAGGCGGTGTTTATAACGAAAGGAAATCATTAGAAAATTAGCCAAACCTATGAGTTTTGTGGAATATTTTGAAAGTATTTTCTTTTGAATAAAAACTTCTTATTGACATGTGTATATAATCTCAAGTTTTGAAAATCCTAACGTGAAGACTCAATTGAAATTTGTTAGAGGTAGGTTGGTCACAATGTTAAGTATATATTTCAGTAATCTGGTTGTATACTCTAAAAACTGTTAATTTCAATGCTAAAGTTTGGCTATAGCCACAGTAACGATGTCTCGTTTAGTTGGAACACATTTTCCATTTATAGCCAAAGCTACGATTCTTCGTCCGGCTAAAACGTCCTGGCGACAATATTTTCTTGAGTCCAGTTCTGGCTATAGCCATAACAAGTAACGATGGTTCATCTAGTTGAACTGTTCTTATTCAGGCTATAGATACAGCCAAAGTAACGGTACATTATATAGATAACTATCATCTTGAAGATGCAGTTATCAAAGTAACACTGTTACGTCAAAGTTTAGGTGTATTTTTGTATGATCCTTATGCTTTATAGGTCTTACTATATAAATGACGTATCAACAAAAGGTAGAGACGTTTTTTTTTAAAAAAAAAGGTTTTATAGTTAACAAAAGAAAAAAAACAACATTTCATGTTTATCAGTGCTTGAAATGGGACATGATGAGAAGGGATGCCATCCCATTTCTTTTCAGGAGGGCCCGAAACCACCCAGCTACTTTTTAGTAAACTTAAAACTGCCCCATTACTTTTACAGTTAGATGAGACACAAAGTGACAATGAACTGGTTAATAAACTATAAAAATTCATATGTGGCTATTTCAGGCCGATACACGTTGGCCTAATCTAAAATTATACACAAACTAATTATGCTCTCTTTTCTTTTTCAAATTCAAAAATATCACAGACCGTGTCGATTCCCTTTTTCCCCACTTCACTCTTTAGCATTTGGCTGTAGATAAACAACAATATTTCATCTTCCTAAACACTTCTTTAGGATTTGGCTGTAGATAAACAACAATATTTAGTTCTTTATAAACACTTCTGGATTTAGCTGTAGATAAGCATCATAACTTCATCTTCCTAAACACATTTTTTCAGGAATTAGCTAGAAATAAACAACAATATTTCGTGCTTCATAAACAATTCTTCAGGATTTAACTGTAGATAAACAACAATATTTCATACTTTGTAAACACTTCATCAGGATTTAACTGTCGATATACGACAATATTTCGTTCTTCATAAGCACTTCGTCCGGATTTAGCTGTAGAAAAACAAAAAATATTTCATCTACATAAACACTTCATCAGGATTTAACTGTAGATAAAGAACAATATTTCATCTTCCTAAACACTTCTTTAGGATTTGGCTGTAGACAAACAACAATATTTCGTTCTTCATAAACACTTCATCAGGATTTAGCTGTAGATAAACAACAATATTCAATTCTTTATAAACACTTCTGGATTTAGCTGTAGATAAGCATCAAAACTTCATCTTCCTAAACACATCTTTTTCAGGAATTAGCTGGAAATAAACAACAATATTTCGTGCTTCATAAACAAGTCTTCAGAATTTAGCTGTAGATAAACAACAATATTTCGTACCTTATAAACACTTCATCAGGATTTAGCTGTAGATAAGCAACAATATTTCGTACCTTATAAACACTTCATCAGGATTTAGCTGTAGATAAACAAAAATATTTCGTACCTTATAAACACTTCATCAGGATTTAGCTGCAGATAAACAAAAATATTTCGTACCTTATAAACACTTCATCAGGATTTAGCTGTAGATAAACAAAAATATTTTGTATGCATTAAATATTTTTTAAGACTTCAACTTCTTTAATGGTGTCCGAACATTTTTTTAATTAGGTAAAAATCGTAAACATGTTATTTTTGTCTCTATTGTGGAGATACTGTGCCGTCCCCACCCCATTATGTATTATTGCACACAACTAGAAAAAGAAAAATAATAATTGGCAAAGAAAGAAAATATAAGGCATGTTCAATAAGCTGTATACTGATTTGAATTATATGTATTTTGTGTATCGCGATTATACTGTAAGATGGCGTAATGTTTTACCTTTACTTTCAGAAGTATCGTGATTTGAAAATTATAAGATTTTCTGAGACAAAAGTTTAAGGTTTGTTATTGTCCAGTTGATGTTCGTTGCTTCAAACACTATCACTAAATGTTATGTTCTATTTATTATATATAAAGAAGTGTTGGATGTTTGTGTTCGCATTTGTTTGTTTTTTGTTTGTATTTTTAATGATGACGAATAACACGTTCGTCTGGGTTCAAGATTAACCTTTTACGCCATCTCATGTTTTATATAAGTTACTCTTTTGTTAATACGGTTTAGATATTGTGAGCCTCAATTCAGGCGCACGTCTTAAAAGTATATGTATGATGAAATTTTAGAAAATGTAACACACATTTAATTATTAAACTAGCTGCAGGTGTTCTTTCTGACATGTACAAGAAACGACTTTCATGGACATCCATATCGTGCAAGAAGAACCATGACAAAAATAAACATATCGTTCACATTCGTCAAGGACAACTGTTACGCGTGATGATTACTACATGGAAGCTTGCAGTGTTTGAAATATACTGGGCAAGGCAAGTATTGTTGAAATTATTGTCTTGCTACAGTGTGCAAGTGTTGAATGTTGAAGTTATTGCGAACTACAATGTGTACGTGTATTATTGAAGTCGTTGTCATACTACACCATTAATGCACACTACAAGGTTGCAAGTATTTATTGTTGAAGTCAATGTGGACTACAATGTGAAAGTGTATTATTGAAACTACAATGTGCAAGTGCTTATTGTTAAATTTAATGTTATACCACAATGCCCAAGTGTTTATTGTTGAAGTCAATGTGGACTACAATGTGAAAGTGTATTATTGAAACTACATTGTGCAAGTGTTTATTGTTAAAATTAATGTTATACCACAATGTCCAAGTGTTTATTGTTGAAGTCAATGTGGACTACAATGTGAAAGTGTATTATTGAAACTACATTGTGCAAGTGTTTATTGTTAAAATTACTGTTATACCACAACGTGCAAGTGTTTATTGTTGAAGTTAATGTGGATTACAATGTGAAAGTGTATTATTGAAACTACAATGTGCAAGTGTTTATTGTTAAAATTAATGTTATACCACAATGTCCAAGTGTTTATTGTTGAAGTCAATGTGGACTACAATGTGAAAGTGTATTATTGAAACTACAATGTGCAAGTGTATTATTGAAACTACAATGTGCAAGTGTTTATTGTTAAAATTAATGTTATACCACAATATCCAAGTGTTTATTGTTGAAGTCAGTGTGGACTACAATGTGAAAGTGTATTATTAAAATTACAATGTGCAAGTGTTTATTGTTAAAATTAATGTTATACCACAATGTCCAAGTTTATTGTTGAAGTAACTGTGAACAATAATGTGCAAATAGTTACTATTGAAGTAACAATGAACAAATACTGTGGAAGTAGTTATTCTGAAGTAATTATAAACAAATAACGTGAAAGTAATTATCATTGAAGTAACTATGAATAAATAATGTACAAGTAGTAGTTATTGTTTAAGTAATTGCAAACAACAATATGCGAGTGTTAAAGCTATCAAATTATTTGTGATACTACAATGTGCTACGTTCACGAAAGTTTCAGCGCAAGTGTTACATGAATATACATCATGCTGACTTGTATGTATTACAAGTGTTATATGAGCATACGTTACGCTGACTTGTATGTATAACAAGTGTTACATTAGTATACGTCACGCTGACTTGTGTGTATCACAAGTGTTACATTAGTATACGTCACGCTGACTTGTGTGTATCACAAGTGTTACATTAGTATACGTCACGCTGACTTGTGTGTATGACAA